CAGCAACAACCCAGCAGGTCAAGAAAAACAAATACCATGGAAACGTGATGGAAAACGCATGGAAGCTTGATGCAAAATCGTGGAAACTGTCTTGGAAAGTTCATGTAGGAAGTTCATGGGAATTTCATCGAAAAAGGCCAGCAACAACCCAGCAGGTCAAAAAAACAACAACCATGGAAACGTGATGGAAAATGCATGGAAATTTCATGGAAAATCCTGCAATCTTTTTGGGAAAGTGCCTCTGGAAAGTTTATGGGAAGTTCACGGGAAAAAGCCAGCAACACCAACCGGTCAAACAAAACAACCATGGACACTTCATGCACTGTTCTTCTGAAGAGCTTGAAGTAGTCATATAATCTTAAACAGTTTTAATTTGATGTATTTGCTTCTGAATCTACATCAGAACTACATGATACATATGCATATATTCAATCAACACACTTGTCACTTGTTAGCTTGTGTTGCAGACTGGAACTGTCTTGATTTTACTTAAATCCGCTCATGTTTTCCGCATGTTTTGCACAGGTCTAGGTTTCATATTAGTGCCTGCCCGCCTGCCTGCGATGGAGACCAGCTCTCCCAGCAAAAAGTCTGATGCGCCGAAGATGACCAGACAAATGGAACAAAGCCAACTTACAAATGACAAACTGCTGAAAAAGAAGGCTTTTTCCTTACAAATCAAGTGCTCTTTATTTTTTAAGTAGTTCTTAAATGTGATTGAAGTAGTTCTTAAACAATACATATTTTTTTAAGCAGACAATTCTTCTTAAACATTTACGGAAACAAAAAAGTACGTAAATCCTTTGCTTCTTAAATTTAGGAAATCTGCAGCATCTGACCGCAGAGACTGGGAGACACAGAAAGACAAGCGGGAGACACGATGGCGTCGCAGCATCTGGCATCAAGCGGGAGACACGACCCGGCATCTGACCGTAGAGACTGGGAGACACAGGGAGACAAGCGGGAGACACGACCCGGAGCCAACCGCGGAGACTGGAGACACAGGGAGACAAGCGGACACGACCCCGGAGCCGGCGTCACAGCATCTGCCATCTGACCGCAGAGACTGGGAAACAGGGAGACAAGCTGGGAAACCCTTGGAGCCAGCGTCACAGCATCTGGCATCTGACCGCAGAAACTGGGACCCCGGAGCCAACCGCGGAGACTGGAGACAGATGGAGACAAGCGGGAGACTGGGAAACAGGGAGACAAGACTGGAGACACATAGACAAGCGGGAGACACGACCCCGAGCCGGCGTCACAGCATCTGGCATCTGCCCGCAGAGACTGGGAGACACAGGGAAACAAGCTGGGAAACGACTGGCATCTGACCGCAGAGACTGGCAAACAGGGAGACACGCGGGAGACACGACCCCGGAGCCAACCGCGGAGACTGGAGACACATGGAGACAAGCGGGAGACACGACCCCAGAGCCGGCGTCACAGCATCTGGCAAGACTGGGAGACACAGGGAGACAAGCTGGGAAACGACCCTGGAGCCAACGTCACAGCATCCGGTAGCCGACCGGAGAGACTGGGAGACAGGAAGACAAGCGGAAAACAGGACCCCGGAACCAGCGTCACACTTTCCCATTCTCGACACCTCAAGTTAGAACCCCAACGCTTCGCTGTTTGGGGAAAAACCTGGTAAAATAGGGGGACCCTTCAAATGGTTGTCCTTTATTACACAGACCCAGACAACCTTACTTGGGCTTTCCGAAGGCCAAGGGCTGATTGTTGGGCCCAAACGCGGTGGTTGAACGAGGGGATTTTCGCCAGCCCATTTGGATCTCAGCCGCCAAAGCATCCAGAGCCATGTTGCGCCTTGTCTTCCTAGTCGCGGCTTCCGCTGTGGCGGAACCAGTTCTTGATGCGAGCCTGGGCAAGACAATGGTATTAGCGTTCTTTGGCATGAATCATATACTGCAGACGTGTTCACGTGTCCCTTGACACACCTGGGTTTTGGAGTCTCCGGTTTTTGCGGACACGTCTAAGCAATGGACAGCAGTATTCAGGTCGATGTGGGGAGGACATGGAGGGTACCAGCCAATGCCCAATCCAACTCAAGCACCCAATTTAACCACTTGTAGATGATGTCTGTGGCCGTGTTTGTTTCCCACAGTTTGGCCGAATTTCTATCGGGGCCCCTCCCTTCCCTCTCCCACCAGCAAGTTGGCGCTCCTCCATCCATATGCATCAAGACCACATCAGTTTACAATGGGAACAGGAGTCTTGACAACCACAAACGAAATTCCTTTTATCTGGACGATGACCATGCACCTTTGTAAGGGGCTGCTTTGTGGCTCGCGCATGTCCGACGCACAGTCAGCCAGCTGAGGAAGGCAACGCAACCAGAGCCTGCCTCAAGCCCGTCTTTGCGGGGCACCTTGCGAGCAATGGACTGTTTTACTTTTTGGTGAGACCTTTTGACCCAGGTTGGTTTTTTGTGAAATTTGCTGGCAAGTCAGGCAGCGAAGTCGCTGGCGCGAATCGCCCAAATCCGGAGGAACCAGCCAAGACGAGCGGCTTCAGCGTCCTGTCCCGGACCAATTTGACAGATGAGGACCTTCCTGCAATGCTGCGTGGCATGCCCGGGGGCAGTGGTGGCTTCGGTGGGCGCCCCTCGCGACCTCTTCCTGGCACCAGCCCAAGTGGCGGTTCCAGCGGCAGTGGCAGCACTGGCACGGGCACTGGCAGCACTGGGGGTGGCGGTGGTTGGGGTGGCCGCCCCTCCCGGCCTTTGCCCAACAGCAGCCCGCGCAACGCACCCGGAGGATTTGGTGGCCGCCCCTCGCGACCTCTTCCTGGCACCAGTCCAAGTGGCGGTTCCAGCGGCAGTGGCAGCACTGGCACGGGCGCTGGCAGCACTGGGGGTGGCGGTGGTTGGGGTGGCCGCCCCTCCCGGCCTTTGCCCAACAGCAGCCCGCGCAACGCACCCGGAGGATTTGGTGGCCGCCTTTGAACCCCGTTGGCGACCGCCGTGCAGCCACGTGCCTGGCAGACCTTTGCCTTTGTCCGAGCGTACCTGCCGGCGTCGTCGCCCTCTCGACCCTCTTGGCGATCACCGAGCAGCCTAGGTTTGGTGCTTGGCGGCGCGCTCGAGAGGGCCGCCGCTCGTGTTTGCAGACAAGCTGGCGCCCGCGTCACGTACTCCAGGGCGCAAGTTGAGGCCGCTGGCGATCTTGGGCGGAGCCCGGAAGGGGACCAGCACCCAATAGTTGTTATATTGTTTCCATTTTTTCTTTTTTTTTTTTTGCGCGCCTTTTTGCAATCGCCTTGGCTTGCCCCTCGCGTCCTCTTCCTGGCACCAGTCCAAGTGGCGGTTCCAGCGGGAGTGGCAGCACTGGCACGGGCACTGGCAGCACTGGGGGTGGCGGTGGTTGGGGTGGCCGCCCCTCCCGGCCTTTGCCCAACAGCAGCCCGCGCAACGCACCCGGAGGATTTGGTGGCCGCCCCTCCCGACCTCTTCCTGGCACCAGTCCAAGTGGCGGTTCCAGCGGTAGCGGCAGCACTGGCACGGGCGCTGGCAGCAGCACTGGGGGTGGCGGTGGTTGGGGTGGCCGCCCCTCCCGGCCTTTGCCCAACAGCAGCCCGCGCAACGCACCCGGAGGATTTGGTGGGCGCCCCTCGCGACCTCTTCCTGGCACCAGTCCAAGTGGCGGTTCCAGCGGCAGTGGCAGCACTGGCACGGGCACTGGCAGCACTGGGGGTGGCGGTGGTTGGGGTGGCCGCCCCTCCCGGCCTTTGCCCAACAGCAGCCCGCGCAACGCACCCGGAGGATTTGGTGGCCGCCCCTCGCGACCTCTTCCTGCCACCAGTCCAAGTGGCGGTTCCAGCGGCAGTGGCAGCACTGGCACGGGTGCTGGCAGCACTGGGGGTGGCGGTGGTTGGGGCGGCCGCCCCTCCCGGCCTCTGCCCAGCAGTAGCGGTGGCCGCTGATTTCCCAGCATTCCAGATTTTGCTGCCTGTAGCTGCTTTAGACCTGGCAATTTATGCCAAAGCCCATAAGAGGTTTGGTCGCAAAAGCGGTTTTAGCTTCAGGTGAGCCTCCTGCACAGAATGGAAAGCCCATAAGAGGTTTTGTCGCAAAAGCGGTTTTAGCTTCAGGTGAGCCCCCTGCACAGAATGGAAATTACTGACTGCTTTGAACAATCTAGCAGCAAAAAAGTGCTTGGCTGGAGACGCAGGAGTGCAAAGCCTAGTGCCCGATTGAAGGTTCGCCTCCCAAAGAAGACACCCCCCTCCCTTTACCACTTCTGCGATACCGAGATGTTTGCATTTTGAGGAATTCGTCAGGGCCGTTTTTCTCAGCACAGAGAAAGGCTTGCAAATCCCTCGTGCCGCCGAAAGGTTCCTTTTCGACACTTTCCTGTGGAGGGGGTGTGGGAAGGTTTTGCCATGTGCAGGAAAGCCAAAACGAGGTTGTTTCAGCGATAGTGGTTAAAGACACCTGTGTGCCGGTCAGGGAATTCCCGAAACAGAAGCCTTTGAGTCCTTCTTGCTGGAGAGAGCCCACTTCGTGATATTTCTTTGTGCCAACCTTGGGGTGCTACAAAGGTTTTTGTTTTTTTTCTCGTTGTGTTGGGTTGGTTATTCCCCTTTTTGTGGCTGGTTTATATAGAGGAAAACTCAAAAGACACGATTTAGTGGTGGGACACAATCCCCAAATCAAAAAGGACCCTTTTAAAATTGGCAAATTCCCAGAAAAGGAGAGAAGCCCCTGAATTGAATCTTATCCCTCAAACTTTAGTCCTGGAAAACTTGCCCCAACAGAGAAGCGGTTCGCGGTTTTCCTCAGACTTTGTCTTCAAAAACAACTCCCTGTCGAAAATTGTCCCATCTTTCGAGAAGTTTGGGTGGCGAAAACTGGGGGCCATGCATGAAAATAATGGAACAGCATAGAAACGCGACAAACCTAGAAAACATGCTGGACTGAGGAAACAAATTCGATAAGGAAAACAAAGCGCCGGATGGTGGGACCCACCGCATGACCGACTCAGGATCGGCTCCAAGAGGTGCAGAGCATCCAAGCCAACTGCACCGCCTTTGCAGCCATCCGACAAGATGGCCAGGCACGTCCGGGTCCGGGTGCGAAGGGTCGCTAGGCAGCTCTCCCAATAAACCCCGTGGAGGGTTGAATGGACCTGGTCATTTGTCCCTTCTTCGCAAAATGCCAAGACAATTCTCCAGAATCTCTTGGGGAAGGGTTTGTGACCGGGATCATCGGGAAGGATCTGTTGGTGACCCTGTTTCCCAATTTGGGTGGTTTTCCAGTGGTTTCAGTTTCATCACTCCCATCCTTCCCCTCTTGGGAAACCACCAACACTGGGAAGGTTCTTGGGGATGGTTCTTACCCAACTCATCCGACGGCACTAAATTTTGAAAAAATGGTCTGTTGAAAGCAACCTTTTAACCTGATAGTTTCTACTCTGCAATCTGTAGTGGGACACCACAGGAACAAGGTAAAACACAAATTACATAAGGATAAAGAATTGGTTTGGACTATGGTTCACAAAGCAACCGGATTTCTGCACAAAAGGGTCCCTTTCAAAACGGATCCTTTTTAAGGACCCGAGGGGTCAGACCCTAGTGACCTTCTGGTGGCAGTCCAATGGGAGCTCCTTTCGCTTGGTCCACGGAACAGCCGCCTGCCAGCATCCTGGGCCTGAGGGGCATAGGCTAGCCCCACCTTCCGGAGAAGGCTCAGTGATACGGATGCCCTCCGAACCAAATGAAAAACGCGCCCCTTTTTTATCAAGCAGGACACGGGATATCCAGGTTACAATTCAGGAGCTACGGATTCTTCCGGGGCCTGTTTGGCTGAAGAACTTCAAGCCAATTGAAGAGGAGGTCGATTTCATTTCCTGCAACATTTGAACATAGGCGACTTGGATAACCTTTGAACATTTGGAAGGTCCCGATTTGTCGGTGGACGTCCAAGCTGGTTAATGTTGACCCAGGATCAATAAACCCGTCCCATTATTAGGGGGGTGTTCCCTCCAAAAGTGATGAATCCCCACTAAAAGGGGACACCCCCCTATGAATCAACCAGGGGTTTATTAATCCGGGGTTAACAATACTCATTGTGTCCTTGCCCGCCAAAGGAGTCCTGAAATATTTTGCAGGCTTTGGATCCAGGGGAGAGACATATCCTGGGTTCAAAGCACCATTACAATGGGGTTGCGTCTAACCATTGTTTACATATTGATTGTCATGTCCCAAGGCCGTTCTTTGAATGGGGGTTGAACCCTATACAGGGCATAGGACCTCTTTTCTTGCTGGTGCGAAATCGGCAGGGAATGAGGAATGGAATGAACCCAGGCTTTGGTCCCCTCAAAGGAAACCACCAGTTGGACATTCCCTATCGCACCAGCAAGTTTTTTCTCATAGCCTAGGTAACCCAGGTTATCGGGTTATAACCCACTTCTAGTGGGGTTAGCCCAGTTAGTGGATTGGTATAATCCAGGTGGCTAACTTACTAACTTGGCCGAACACGTCACGTGCGGTCGATTTCGCAGGTGGTCACTTGGGGCGCAAAGTCGGACGGCGGAATCGTGGACGGCGCGGTGCAAGCGAGGCTCCGAGAGGTGCCTTGCCTCAATATGTACCCCAGCACATAGCAACCGATTGAAGATGGGTTGAAGTTGAAATAGAATCTGCCTCAGAATCTTGGCAATTACCTCAAAAAAGGCTTTTGGAGGTCCAACCCCTTCAAATTGAAGATCGAGACCCCTCCAATGGAGTGGCCAAGGTGCGAGCAATCCAGGCCACGCTCTTCGCCTTTGCAGCTCTGCGAGCAGACGGGCAGGCCTGTGGTTTCGTTGGGTCAAGGAATTTGGGAAGCTGAAGGGAAGCCCCAGGGTTCAACCAAAAGAATGGCCCAAGGGGACCCACTTTGGATGACAATCCTTAGGTAAAGAATGGTGGTTCTGTTGACCCCCCATTGTTTGAATGGTGGCTTGGACAGCAGAAAAACGCCTGTGATGTTTTGGTTTTTTTCCCCTGCGATCGTGGGTCTACTGATGGTTTTTGTTTGCTTAATGTTGGTGCAACATAATCAGGCAACACGGTCAGCGTTGCTCCTTCGACCTTTGAAAGCTGACAAACCCTCAACTCATGGGGGCTGGGGAGGGAGGAGTGGCGGGAGGGAGCCCAAATAAGCCCTAAATAAGGCCTTATTAAGCGCTTAATAAGGGCTTACTTGGGCTCCCTCCCCCTCTCCTTCCTCCCCCCAGCCCCCATGATCAACGGTATCAATTTGGTTTGGATTGAATTGACCCGGGAACAACATATATCAGCATAGTACCCTTGTGCCAGCGTCTTTGGAGCACAACTACCCAACGTTTACATGCATTCAGGGGCACAATGCCCTCTTGCGGCGTATTGTATTCTTGTCTGAACAACGCTTCCCGGTTCCAACTTCCCAACACCCCAACCCAGCAGCCCCGTCCCCTGTCCCAAAGAGACCTGATATAAAAGCCAACCACATTTTGGGGCAAGCCCCAAATTGGGGGTCCTGTGGGTTTCTCTTCAAAGCAGACACAAGACACCAACTCAAAGGCAATCACATGCATCTGTTGTTCACCTGAAGGGGCTTTCTGCGCAGGTGTTTGCCTGGGGAGATGTGGACTATGGAGGGGATGCCAGCAAAGTGCAGGAGCGCGGGTGAGATCCGATCCCACCCCAACTTTCCAGATCAAGCTGCGGTATCCAATCAAAGGACTGGTGTGTCTCAAACGGGGGGCACCTGTAGGGATGAACTATCACCAGGAAAGCTTCCCGAAATTCGAGCAAGCCCAATTATGTGGATTTACCAAAAGGGGAACCCGGGGATGGGTGTGGTATCCCTAGGGTTCAACCCCCATCAAATGACCAATCATTGTTTTAATGTTGGTTTCAACCCCAGGGTTTACGTTATAGGTTCGGTGAGTGAAATCCCCAGGCCAGTTTCACGTGGCTGGAGCCAATCAGATGGTTCAGACCCATGGCTCCTGCCCCGATTTGTTATGGGCTTCCCAATAGGGGTGTGTCTCAAAAGAGAGAGGTGGCCCCGAAATTTGAAGCCTTGCATGTGGGTTTCAGGTACCCAAGTTGTTCAGGGCTCCTTAGAAGATACATGTTGCAACCATTTAAGAAACATAGCTGTTTCGACACCAAAATAAAGGGAAACCACCATTTACAAGCCAATGTTCAGGTGTATAATGTAAGGATCCCTGTTGCTACCCCGAAGAAAGCCACACACCTCAAGTTCCCGCATGCAGGAGCAACTGAAGGGTGTGCAGCAGATACAGGCCACCTCCAGAGCATTCGCGGCCATCCGCTCTGATGGCTTCGTTGTGACCTGGGGCGATGCTGACAGCGGCGGAGATAGCAGCGCGGTGCGCGAGCAGTTGCGAGTCTTCGCTGCACGAAGGCTTGCTCTCCCAGGGCTGATGGGGCCACGGCCCTGACACAGGGCCAACATAGCACCAAGAAACTGGGGCCACGGCCCTTACACAAAGCCAACATAATTACCACGTATTTGCTCTTGGCCATTTAGAGGGGATCCAGGATTTCACTTCCCTGGGTATGGTTGGGGAGACTAGATTCTTGGATACACCTGGCTGCTCTTTGGTTCTCCAGTTAACCTGTTCACATTTCAGAGCATGACTGGTTCGCTACAAACAAATATTTCACTTCTACAAAAGAGTACAACTGAAGGACTAGCCCGGTCCTCAAGAAAGATCCGCTTTGCGCACCCTTGCAGCTCTTTGCAGCTCTTTGGAAATGCGAAATATGTTGGTTTCGGGCTTGCCTGCTTGTTGCCTGCTTGAAGAGGGCCAACACATTCCGAGGCGACAAGTAAACAACAACGCCTGAAGAACTCTTACCATGTAGTCCTGCTTGTGTCTTTGGGATTCCAATGCGTTGCAATGGTTTCGGGGGAGAGACATTCAATTTAAGCTGCTGATGCGTGAGTGCAAGATGAAATCCAGATGCTTGGCATGTTTGGCCACAACTTTCTGCATTTGCGTCGGGATTGGGTCCATATATGTAAACATCAATCACAAGACTTAAGATACCTGTTGCATTCCCTGGTTCCCAAGCAACCATTACGGCTGTGTCTTTTGTGGGATGTTTGTTAAAACAAAGAAAAACACACACACACACACACACAAAGGGCAACTCGCGGCAACTATGCGCTTTGAGGCTTTTCGGCCAACCTTTCCTATGGCACGCCCCATCGCCGTGGGTCCCTGGGTCCCTGGGTCCCCGGCCGCCGCCCACTTTTTGGAGTCAGGAGATGTGGTACAGATCCAGGCAAGCTACGTTTCCTTCGCAGCGTTGCGCTCCGATGGGAGCGTCGTTTCCTGGGGCAGCCCTTTCCAAGGACGGGTCAAAGTTCGGTCGGATGCGGATTGATTCACGAGCTCGCCGAAGCAGCGGGTTCATGGCGCGGGTTTCTGGGCGATGGAAAGCTACCTGATTGCTCTTGGTGCAACCGAGCTAGCTTTCTGACACTTGGAAACTGCTTTTGATTCTCCCTCCCTCAGCAAACTGCTCTTTGGTACGACCGAACTCACCTTTTATTTTGTTTGGCTATGAATGCAAAGTGAATAGACTGTTCGTTGCTGCCAAACATGTTTGTTTTCAAACCGCCCACTTGTTTGCTGTCAATTATACTCCAAATCACTCGCCAGCAACCTGTCTTCAAGTGACCCCTTTTTGCTGCATCACGGGTGTGTGCTTTTTGTGGGTACCCATTTTGGGGCTGGTTTAAAGGAACGCCAAGGGAACACCTTTCAAAAAAGGGGTCCACTTCCTGTTTTGACACATTCCTCTTTGCCTAGTTTTTTTTGAGCACCACCTCAAAAGTGCTTGGTGGACATGAACCCCCGCAAAAAATCAGAATACTGCGGGACCCATTCCAATTCACACCCAGGTGTTCCCTTCTGAGCGCTTCTTCGCTGGCGCCTTGTCGTCGCAGGTGGGGACCCGGAAGGTCTCCTTGGGCTTGACCAGTTGCGCGATGTGCACCTTGGCTATGGCTCCAGGGGGTGGGGGGGGGTATTGGTGGGGGGGCCAGCCATCCAGTTCCTTAGCTTAGATATTTGTACTATCTAGTGGGGGATGTCCATTTGACCCATCAGGTTCAACTTTTTGCGTCTCCGTGCGTGGATCGAGTCTCTTTCTGACCCTCACAAAACGGGATCATTTGTCTATGTGCTTGGGGGACCCCATGTTTGAAGGGTCAGAAGACTCCCAAATGGCGCTTGGTGTCCTTTCGTTTCCCTGCAACTACTAACCGAAAGGGTTTTTGTCCTTCGGGAAGGTCCGGATCCAATTCTTGTTTTCAGGTTTTGCAATTAGACAATTGGCAGGCATCCGGAAATTGGCCCAGGGCGTGGGTTTGTCTGGCCAGCGAGGGCTCATTGGGCAATAGGCCTAGTCAAAGCCTCATGGAACACGATTCCAAAGGCCAAATTCAGTCGGTACTCTGCTTGGTTACCTGGGGTTCATAGTTTGTAAGTTTGTTGGTATTACAAGCTGTTTGTTTCCCTTCACCCTTCAAAAACCGCCAATTGTCCCTTCATGGATCTCTTCAAACAACAACCCACCAAAACAAGCTTCTCCTTTTTCTTGAAAATCCCACCCAACCCCAAACCCGTGCCCTTCTTCCCTTTTTTGGGGTAAGGGTTCCCTTTTCAAACTCAACCAACCAAAACAAGCTTCTGCCCTTTTTTGTCCCATGGAAATCCACTGGGCATTTGAGCAAACAAATCATGTGTTCCTTTTAGTTTCCCTTTAAACTAAAAAAAAAGGTGCCCTTCTCCCATGGCCATCCACTGGGCATCTGAGCAAACAACAGAACACGGGACTTTCCCGGCCGCGAGGCAGGCCATCCAAGCCTCGGCCTTCGCCTTTGCGGCGCTGCGCGCAGATGGCTCGGTGCTGACCTGGGGCGATGCCGCCTACGGGGGCGATCTCGCGGGATGGGTTCGGTCGACTTGAAGGACGGATGGCTACGCGGAACCACCAAGATCTGATATGTTTTCGTGATTTTATTTTTGGTGTTGTATTTTTTGGGGGGGTCTTGGTGGCATTCCGTGTGGCAAGACTTGCAGACGAAATCTGTTCGCAACGGGCTTCTGAAGCCATGGGAATGCAACCAGTGTTTACAGGGGAATCATAGGGCTTAGGTGCAGGATTTCGTCCATCCACGGTAGCTTGCGGCTTCGTTCTCAGGGAAGCATTGGAATCGATGTTTCGGTGGTTCGGGAACTAATCATTTGTGTTCCTCTTACCCACCGGGAATGGTGGGATGCCCTTAGCCACAAGGGATGGTGTTTGTGGGGGTCATTCCCTCATTTCCTGCCTATCGAACCAGCAAGAGTCGACGCTCCCCTCGGAGCTCTGCACCGACCCAGCTGGGGTGCTGAATATATAAGCCAATACAGTTCGTGCTTTTCTAAAAGGGGGATTCCCAAAACTAGTAGGTGTTGCTTTTAGTGTTCCTTTCAAACCATCCAAAAAGGGGTATCCTCAAAAATGACACACTCATATCGAGTTTAGTTGTTCAATATGTTCCCAAAAAGGGGATGAATGTTTGCCCAGTTTGCCCGAGCCCATTCAGCACCCTAGGTGGAATCAACACGAGATCGGGCCCGTGAACTTTTTGGAAGTTAGTGCAGATGAATGGCATTTTCACCTACTGGTCCGCCGGTCCAGTTGTGAACGTGTGTGTGTGGGTGCCTTTTGTGTTCTGTCATGTGTGTGCGTGTGTGTTGATGTTTGTTATAATTCTTGGATAGGTGGAAGTTTGAACACCCCCAGTTTAGTTCCCGTGCGAGTTCCCCCTTCCACATGTTTGAAAGAAGGGGGTCCTTGCGAGCTGGTGCGACGCGTTCCTTTTATGTCAGTGCTATCCTGCAAATTCTGCGGATCAGCTGAATCCTCGTGCCGCCAGCCAGAAAAATGCAGTGGGTGCGCGGGCTAAGATGGCTCAGTAGTGGCCATCTCGGGTTCGTGCTTTGCGCAGCGTTCAGTCGTCTACTGTAGTCAGTACGAATCTGAGTGTTGTCCGAACAGCACAGATCAAAGGGTCCCCTTTGAATGATTCAACTTCACACTGAAGGGAACCCACTGCGTTTAAGGAGAGGGGTGTGTCTTGTGGTTGAGACACGGGTCATCTCGCATGGATTCGAATCCTCCAAGCTCTGGGTGTTCCCTATGTTCTGTGCATGTTGCTTGGATGTTAGGACTTTAACCGTTTGCCAACCAAAAAAAATGTGTTTCCATGAAGCCACCAAAAGTCATTCACGGTTCGCCGGGGAGCAGATTTCGCCATCGAATCTTTGCTCGCTTGAGTCCCAAGAGCCTTGGGCCCGGGCTGTTGGACTGCGGATGGATCCGTCCCTTTGCGAAAGCTGCGAGACCTTTGCGCGCGAAAAAAGTCGATGGCACGACTCCCTTCATGTCAAGTGAAGCTGAGCCGAGGGGCCCGTTTTAGCGGACCTGCTTGAACCAATGAGAGTTGAGGACCCCTTTGGGTGCTGAATCCCCACAATGTTCGGCATAACTATGGGAAGCATCCTTTACTTGGGATCGTTGTTTGCAGGTTTTGGACAAGTTTGCCGAGTGTTTGTATTTCTTCCAAAGGACACCAAACGTGAATAGCTTGCTTAAACCTATGTTTCCAGACCGTCATTTGGCACCCACTTCAGGGAGCTGGTTGAATTCAAGGACACGCTTCAAGAGCAAGATACTTAGTAAGTCGTTAGCAAGCCTGGTTATAGCCCACTTTTCAAGTCCAGTAGAGACCTTTTACCCTGTTTTTGGGGAGGGTTCCCCCACTAAAATAGACAACAGAAAAGAGACGGGTACCCTTATTCTAACCTCTTTGCTGGAGAACCTAGATCACTAACCACTTGCCCTGCCCCTTTACAGCAGACTGCGGGAAGCGCCCGAATGTCGCTTCGCAGGCAGAGCTGCAGCCAAAGCGCTTGCTGATGCTGGCTGCAGGCCGTGGATGCGGGGTCGTTGGGCGAGGCTCAGTGGTTCAAATACGACCTTTTGACCTTTTGGTTTTCTCTCTTTGTTTTGTGGTGGAGGTCCAAAAGGTTGACCTTGTATTTCCAGGTCCTTTGGGCAAGTGAGTTGGGTACCCCCTGGTTGCTGGTTTGGATGGGTTTGGATTTGGATCTGGGCGGGTCCGGGTAAATGTGAAACTACCCCGGTTCACCACTAAACCACCGGGCTGCAAACCACCAACCACGGGGAAGCTGACTTGGTCGCCAAGCAGTGAACATGAAACCTGGAGCCAGCGGAGCCGGTCTTCGTACAGTGTGACTGTTAGTGGGTGGGCGCAAAAAATCCTCTTGGGTTGATGGGGCGAACGATTCGAAGCATTCTGGCCCACTCAGCTTAGACCAGGGGGAATGAAAGGCTGGTTTTTGGGGGGAGCACTTACCTGGGGGTCTACCTGATTGTTGAGGCAATCGTATTGGTCGAGTGTTTAGACAAGAGAAGGCTCGTCCTCAGAAGCCAGGCCAACGCTCCTCTCGGCTGGATTCGGTCTTTCTGCTCGCAACTGCTTTGCTTGGCGGGCTAGTTCTGACTTTCGAGAGAACCAGCGTGTCTTCATGTGCGTTGTTTAGCAGGCAACAATGGACTACAGTCGGACTACTGCTGTTGGCTTGCTTGCTGCCTTTGTGTTTCAAAGCGGCTCACCCAGCAAAGAGCAGCGTTGTCCAGCAGGGCCCTTGAGTGCCCTCGGCAACTTCCGGCTTCGCAGGCCCAAGCGGCGAGCATGTGCTTGCTTGCGTTTCGCGACAACACAGGCAACCAGCCCACCTGCAAAACGTCCACTCCCCCTGTCAATGAAAGATAAGCTTTAAATGTTTGATTCATCCTGGATCAGTTCAAGTGCCAGTTGGGATATCCCCCGCCCTCCAAGTATGGCGTGCGATGGGTGCAAGTAGAGGGACTCTAATGCATGTTCCCTGGGCAAAAGGCAGCTTATGATTGAGCCTGCACTTTTTCCCAAGGGATGGGGGATGTTGGGATTCATCCAGAGGTGCAAGGGACTGCTTAAAATGCCTTCCTGTAGACTGACCCGAAGATGGACCTTGTGATACACACCGTGCTTACCAGTTGCCTGTGGCGTTGCCAAGCTTTCAAACTGCTTGCCGGGTTTCTTCATTATTTTTCAAGCTCGAGAGTTCAAACTCTACATTTGGGGGTTGATCAATAATCCTGGCCCCCAAATTTTGCACCGGTAACTTTTCCTGTGGGTAGCTTTTCCCCTCATCTTTCTGGTGGTCTTCCCCAATTGTCATCCTATGTAAAGGACACTTTGATCAACACTCATTTCTTCTGGTGGAGCCAACTCATGTCAGAGTGCCCACGAATCTGCTCCCCATTTGCTCGGAGGCCTTTTGGCAATGAGCCGCGCAAAGAGCTTGAGAGCGATTCTCTTTGAGCCACTCGGATGCCGCGCGTCGCTTTCCAAGTTGGTTCCCCATCTTATCCTTCCCAGACATTTCTCAGACACCAGCGATACGCCTTGGGGCCTCACCAAAACTCAAGGCGTACCAAAAAATGGTCCCTCCCCGAACCTTAGGGCGACCTTCTTCATCCGCTTTGCTTTTCGGTACGTTGCTACCGGGGCTTTTGGTTTTGAGTGGATCTTTCTTGCGGTTTGCTTCATTTTGTGAAGAGAAGGATCCGAGCAGCGGCCAAATTCGTGGCTTTGCCTTGACCAAGCCTTAATTACGCAGGATCACCTCAAGGAGCGCATGCACTGCAAGGGGTTATGAGTCGTGCTTTCTCGTTTTTGGGTCTTGTGCGAACATTATCCTCCGGCAACGTTTGTTTAACACGCGTATTGTTGCGTCATATTTGATGTGTGTATTTTATTGTTGCGTCATGATGTTAAATGGAAGAAGCACTGATGAACCCCAGCACTTGGACACTGGCTGGTTTGTCCCTGCGCAGATTGAGACTTGTGTAACACTGTCAATGAACAAATATAATGAGCATTTGGCAGCACCATCGTGAGTCTGCCATTGCACAGGCGAGCGGGTAAGCCACCAAGGTGATTTGTACAGTCTGTTTGTTTCAGGTTGGGTTTTCCACGTTCATTATCATGCAGGTTGAACAGCTATGGGTGAATGTCGGCGGTATGGCTTGCCCATGCGGACCTCATCATGATGTTATCTTTCTGCCGTACAGGATTACCTCGGAATTTGGCAGCTCTGGATAGTACCCGTTGATGTTGGTTTGTTTTCCTTGGCTCCTCCCAACCACCATCCCTTGACTTGGTGGCTGCTTTCGAGCCAGCCATGTCCACCGCAAGCAATGCTATGAGCACTGTGGCAACCTAAGAATTAATTGTATGCATGCTTGAACGTGCGCTGCGCTGTGATTCTAGCTGTGCGCTTTGCTTGTTTATACACATTCCTTGGGCACATCGTTATTTTTGTTCTTCGCACAGCTCCGATTCGGGTGGAGCCTGCGTTTCTTATCGCAGGTGCAAGTATTGTTTGGCGGATTGGCCTGACGTCCCTTGGGGACTTGTTTTCGTTGGGAAAATAGGCTTGTAGTTAGAGCCAAGCTTTTCCAGGACCCAGGCCCAGCCCCTGACCCCGATCTTGAGCTCCATGAAAGACCAGAGACGGACCGACAATACCTTGTGAGTTTTGAGTCGTCTTGGGTTGTCTTCTCCAGTATTTGGAATTCATATTTGCTTCAGCCTTGATTCCGGACGGCGCAAGGCACTTGCTGTGCGCGCTGCGACCTCTGATGTCTTGCTACGTGGCAGGGAGCAGCCGACCAAAGAAACGCTTCGTTCGACGACACGGCCTATGGATTTTGGCTGACAGCTGGATCTCTCAGCATAAATCAGGCAACCCGAATTGGTAAGTCTGGATTGGTGATTTGGATTTGGATTCGAACGGGCCCCTGGTTCTTGTAGATGGTAAATGGGAAAACCAAACCAATCCAAACCACCA